TAATAATATTACCAAGGGGCAACATGTATATCGAAAATAGCAGAGGACCTAGGACAGATCCTTGTGGCACTCCATATTTTACTGGTGGTAATTGAGATGACTCCCCATTTAAATGAACAAAATGGTAGCGATCGGACAGGTAGGATCTAAACCGTCTTAAAGCCTGCCCTTGAATACCATGATAGTGTTTCGTTCCTGAATGAATCAACCGTTAAAATGATTTGGTTCAATCGCAATGACTCGCTTATTAGAATTAACCGTTTAAATGAGAATGAACGAGCTGCGGGGTGTGAGCGTCCAGAGACACGAAGCGCGGCTTTCAATGACACACAAAACAGCTCACATGCACTGCATTTAACTCTTTAATATGTTCTTACACTTGAATTGTGTAAAAGTGCTTGAATGTTTTAATTTACAAGGCTTTAAAATACATGTAAATGCTGTAGTGTCGTGAGCGCGGAGGAGTGGCTGAGCCGAGTGCTGACAGATCTGACAACATCTTTCACACTCACCTTTGGCCATCAGACAGTCATTATTAATGAGCCCTGACCTGGTAATGGTCAGATATTTTGGTTTAGCTTGTCAGTGTGAATGAAATGTATTAATTTATTTGCATTTTTATCCAATTTGAAAATGAAACTAAGTGAGAGGAGTTATCCTCTAGTGCAGGGGTGCCCAAACTCGGTCCCGGAGGGCCGGTGTCCTTTGGGCACCCCTGCTCTAGTGGGTTGCAATTGTCCTCTAGAGGGGGCAATTTTTCTCAGCCAATGTAAGTCTATGGGACGTTTTTGAGTTTTAATAATTTATAGGAAAACTAAGTCTGATCAGTCTGAATAGATATAGCAAAAAACTACACATCAGGGCCCAGGCCTCTGCCGAGTTTGGGGCTTGTAGCATTAAAGCCTTAGGAGGAGTTAGAGTCCGAAAATTTGGTCTCAGAAGAATAATAATAAGTTTAATCATCTCCATCCCTCTCTCACAACAAATACTACCAGTGTTCAAATTGAGGGGGGGGGGGTAACCCCATAACACCCCATAACACCCCAACCCCCATAACACCCCAAAACATATACTTGGGGTGTCCCCTGGTTTTTCAATAAAGCTATAATACTTGAAACATGAAACTAGTGAAAATTAAGATTAAATGAAGATTGGATTGCTGTATTAAATTTAGACCTGCTCATGTTACATCGTATTTTATTTGTACACGTTTTACAGAGTTGCTCATATAACAAATCACACACGATTCTGTTGAGCTTAAGAATGCAGTGGCCAATCAGAGGCGTTCAGATTAGTCATCGCTGAATTTTGTTTAGACTGAAACGCGCAAATTCCCTCATCAATTGCAACAAAAGTGCAGATGTACGTATGATAAAAGTAAGAGATTCATTTATCATACAGATTATAAGAGGAATTATGAGTGCTAGCAAGCTAGACTGACTGCTCATTTAGAGGGTGTTCTTTCACTGCATGATTTAGTGTAATAAAATGCATCTAGAATGCTCCCAAAATTCAAGATATGGGGGCAGAAAATATATTTATCATTTCATATAGTTAATCAATATCACACGAAGAGTGCCATTGGTTCACAAGTCACAAATGTGATATTGATTTTATACAACAGTTCAATAAAGTTAATATTAATAGACTTATTTTTTAAACACCATATTGCCTATTTTTGCTCTATTTCGCCAACAAAAAATGATTTTATTTGTTTGGTAACAGCCCCAAATGTCTTACTATTCTAACTGAATTTGATTAAATATAATTTGATGCAAAATATAATGCACACCTCTAGAACAAAAAAATGGCTTTATAAAAGGTAAAAATGCCTATAAAGGGTAAAAAAAAAAAAAATCACTTTAAACTTGTTGGAAAAGATTATTTCCTGTCACTGCTGTGAACTGACCACGCAGAATATCAAAAACTTTAGAAGTCAGCCGTCCACGGCAATCCTGCAGCGTGTCACACTCAGCAAAATATCATCAGATTATCGAATGAATCATATTTATATAAGCTTTTATTTATTGATTGATTGAAAGGGGAGTGGGGGGGGTCTATTTAGGGGGACCCCCAAGAGCTTTGACAAGTCGAACACGAGTAATACTGCAATTCTTATTCATGCACTTGTTACCTCACATATTGACTACTGTAATGCTCTATTTATTATTATTCTTCTTTCTAAACTGCTCTATAAACACCAGTTAATTCAGAACTCGGCAGCTCGTGATCTTTCTAAGACTTCATCTATTGAGCACTTCAGATCTTCACTCTCAATTTCTCTGGTATTGCCACGCATACGCTAAAGCACTATAGGAGCAAGAACTTTTAGTTTTGCAGCTCCTCGCCTAAGGAACTCTCTCCCCCAATATACGCAACAGTGAAAGTCCGCATAATTTTAAATCTCATCTGAAGGCTCACCTCTTTAACCAGGCTTTATTACTTGCTCTTATTTAGCCTTTACTGTATATGTGTTGTATGCATGTAGGCACTTGTGCTGTTAAACTTCGTAATGCTTACGAAGTTTATCGGGGCCTTTACATGTGGGTGTTTGGTCCTCTTAGACAAACAATCTCTTTAAATTGTAAATTATGTAGAGAAAGGGCATTACCTTATAGCACAGCTGATTTTGACAGTTGACCAGAAATGACTTAGCTGGCTTATCTAAAACCAGGCAGTAACCATGCATAGTCAACTCCACCCCTGACTGCAAGCTGCAACTCTCGCCGATCGGTCTGCGCAGCTCCGCATGAAGTCAAACACACTACAGTTCCCAGCACGAGATCCAGGTGTCTGCATTTACAGGCTTATAAAATAACTGCCTAATAACACTAACTGAACACTGGTGCCACAAAGATAATGTACTTTCTCATCTAAGCCGGTCAGCAGTCTAACACCACTCGTCAATGTCAAAATAACAGTTGACCAATTAGATCTATGAAGGCAGGCATTACCTCTTTACAGGGGTGTAAAAAAAAAAAAAACCCCACACACACAACTCAAATTATACTTAAAAGTACAGATACAGGAAGTACAGATTTTTATTTTTGACCAAAAATATAGGCCTACTTAAGCGGCCTACTAGTAGTAGTTCAAGTACTTCTTAAAAATGGATGACATGTACTACAGAGGAGAAACTGACTGCAGCCCATGAGGCAGATGCATCTGTCACTCCTGACCAGCTGAAGAACCTCCATGAGAATACAGAAAAAAAAAAAATGCTAAGAGTTTGCAGAAGGTGTGACAGCTGCAGCAAAAAAAAAAAATAAAAAAAAATAAAAAGATTTCATTCCTAGCGGAGTCCCCAAGACATAACATTGTATATTTTGTGTAAAAATGGACTAATATTTTTCAGGGATGTCCAGCGGTGTTTGGGTCTCAGGGAGAGAAACTTGCACAAAGCACTGATGCCAGAAAGCAGCCAAATAACAAAAACAAAATCTTTAAATCAAGAAATTCTTTATTTGATTGATTTCTAAACCGAGCAAACAAGGAAAACATGCCATATGAATAAAGCTCTGAATTGAAAAGATCTCCAGTAAAGGTTATGCAAAATGCCCATTTCAATAACCACATCCCTGACAATTTCCCTGATCACTTCCCTGAGCTTGACCGCTTCCATAGCTACTTCCCTGATCGCTTCCCTGAGCTGGACCTCTTCCCTGATCGCTTCCACTTCCATGACTACTTCCGTAATCACTTCCCTGAGCTTGACCACTTCCATAACTACTTGCACTTCCATAACCATTTCCCTGTTCTTGACCTCTTCCCTGTTCGCTTCCACTTCCATAACTATCTCCACTTCCATGACTACTTCCGTGATCGCTTCCCTGAGCTTGACCACTTCCATAACCACTTCCCTGATCGCTTCCCCGAGCTTGACCTCTTCCCTGTTCGCTTCCACTTTCATAACCATTTCCACTTCCGTGATCGCGTCCCTGAGCTTGACCGCTTCCATGACCACCTCCACTTCCATAGCTACTTCCCTGACCGCTTCCACTTCCATAACTACTTCCATGATCGCTTCCCTGAGCTTGACCTCTTCCCTGATCACTTCCACTTCCATAGCTACTTCCCTGATCGCTTCCCTGAGCTTGACCTCTTCCCTGATCGCTTCCACTTCCATGACTACTTCCGTGATCACTTCCCTGAGCTTGACCGCTTCCATGACCACCTCCACTTCCATAACTACTTCCCTGACCGCTTCCCCTTCCATCACTACTTCCGTGATCGCTTCCCTTAGCTTGACCGCTTCCACTTCCATGACTACTTCCCTGATTGCTTCCCTGAGCTTGACCACTTCCACTTCCATAACTAATTCCCTCAGCCTGACCGCTTCCCTGATCACTTCCCTGAGCTTGACCGCTTCCCTGATCACTTCCCTGAGCTTGACCGCTTCCATGACCACTTCCACTTCCATAACCGCTTCCCTGACCCCTTCCCTTTCC